AAGAATTGCAAATGAGTCTGGACTCTTAATTGAAAACGCACTCTCTAAGGGACGTCACATTATACTCACTCCTTCAATAATCAAACACCGTGAAGTCACCATCCTATTTTTTAAATGAAAGAAAAGAAAACAGTGCACTAAATGTTACTCCATGAATCAGCGCTATACTTCTGTTTCTTCCTTATGCTCCATGATCGTAGCTACCAAATTGTAAGTGGCAAAGAAAAACAGAAGCACCGTAAGCAGAAAAAGCAGAAAAAGCGGTGACTTGACCCGTCCGACGCTTTTCTTCACAATCATTTTCAAAATCTTGTCCAATTCCGAAACTCCGAGAAACCAACCCTTAGAGATTAAATTAAAATTTAAAATTCATTGACACCATTACAGTCCTTGAAAATTGCAGCTATAATGCATAACTATAGTCAATAGACATAAACAGAATCCTTCAGTCATTGCTCCACAAGAAAAAATGTCAAAAGATCAGAACTTGCAATATATTCAGAGCCTCCCAATGGGGAAAATCCAACCTTGGCTGTGCAAAGACGAAAAAGATTGAAACTTTGGTAGAGAGAATACAAGGGTGGGAAATGTATTAAAGGAAGGAAAGGAAGAAAATCTACATCCTTTGCTACTGAAAATCAACCGAGAGTCCCTGCCTCAGACGTAGCCTCCATAGCAAAATAAAATGTGTTCCTACATGGTTGCGGCTGGAGCATCCACAAAAAATTAAAGGTGTAGGACCCCCCCTCCGTGCAGCTCTCCAATTAAGGGTGAATGACCCACACCCCTTTCCAACGTGGCTTCAGCGTGTGGGCCGCCTTTTGCTTCACTTCTTCAAGCTGGAAAATGAATGTGTGTAGCAGCTTCTCTGGACACCCCCTTTGCTTGCTAGATGCACTTCCAAAAATGGGACCGTGATGTGCTGCTGCGTGTGATTGCTATGAGCGTGGACCGTGTGCATCCAAGCTTCACTCCGTGCAATGCTTCTAAGTGTTGCTATCTGCACCCCATTGTTGTGCTGGAGTTGCTGGATAATGATGTCCGTGTGTGCCTCTTTCTTTCTCCTCCGTGGCAGCTCTTGTTTTTGTTGGACCATGTGCTTTCTTCAAGGTGGCGGCTGGACTTCCAAGTGTGCACCCCCCTTCTTTTCTCGTGGACGCGTGCTGCTGAATGGAAGAAGGTATGGGCCGTGTTGCTTGCTTGACACAATTAATTGTCCATGGGCCAATCTTCCAAAACTGTGAGCTTTGAAGAATAAAAGCTGCAACGTGTTCTGCTTCACACCATTTACCATTGAAAATCCAAAACCTTTTCCTTTCCATGTGGATGTGGGTCATGCCAAAATGAATGAATAAAACCGTGAGCACTTGCAAAGTGGTCCCCTCCATCATTTCACTTCAAGTCTTTGGTGATTTCCTACGTGAATTGTTATTGTCTTCAAAAATTCTTGAGAAAACCGTGGACACTACTTGGAAAGTGGTGGAAACGTAGATGCTTCTCATTCATGATTTGCCAATAATGAATTTTCCAATGGGTCCTAGCCGTGTGCAATTGAATGAGTAGAGATGTTGGTGCCTTTCTTATTCAATTGATGAAACCGTAACATCCCAACAGAAAAATTAAGCCCTTCTTCCAAAACGGATCAGTACATCTTTATCTGAATAAGGCGTAGCTTCTTCCAAGTAAAATAGTACAGTGTGCAGATGAATATTCTTCCAAATGTCTCCATTTGCATTTCCAAATCCATTTGCATTTCCAAAATTTCCCTGTAATTATTAATGTAAATAATTAACTCAGATAATTCAAATTAATTAAAATAAGAATTTCTGATCGGATTAAGCTCAATTCAGTAAAATGGGAAAATACTGGACAATTAAGCATAATTTCCCGATTAAATTCGGTACAATAAACTAAGTGAAGTGAATAAAATATTGACTCATCACTGTTCGTTCAAATTCATACCACAACCATTAAGAGGATGAACATGGAGCTCTTTCAAAAGATGGTCAAAAACATGTGAGACACATTACATAACTCAAATGGAGTAGAGATGAGTTGCAGTAATGGAAATCCCTAGAAAAAGATAAGCATTCAGAAACTTCATTACTTGGTAAAGTTGCATATGATATTCCTATTTTTATATTGGATTAAAGACAAAATTAAGGAATAGGAAATTTTTCAAGATGCTCTGCCTCTTCCATTAATCATCTTATACCTTTTAATTTTTTTTATTATTATTTTTTACCAAGTTTAGTGATATGAACTTTTAGGTACCCTATGAGAGGGAATTACGAAATTTTGGTTACTATATTTATGTGCAGGTCTCTTTGTTTTTTATTCTCTTTTATACTAAATAAATATAATAAAAATGTAAAAATTTTGTCTATTTATTTAAGTAATGATTTTTTTATTGTTAAAAAACATGTACATATAAAATTAATGCTACTAAAACAATTTTAAAAATTATGTTATTATAAAATGAATATAACTATATAAAATAATTAATGGCTATTAAAATTTAATTTAAACTTTTTTAGTATTATGAAAAATGTTGTGATCTATAATTAGTAGTATTGAAAATAATACATAGTAGTTATTTTAAAAAACTTTATTAAGATAAAAAGTAAAATTATTAATATTGATAATTAATGTGAATATAAAATATTAATATTAAATTAAAATTTAAAAAATTAAAGTACTGATAAGTAATTGAAAAAACTATTATTATTGTGTATTAAAATAGTAATTTAATAATTCAATTATAATTGTTCACAAAAATCGGTTGGATTCATTATATGAACTCTCCATTCACCTCTCGATCGGGTCATAAACTTTTAGGAGCTTATTTTCTTACGCAACTTGGTGGCAGTGATTCTATAAATGAACTCGTCGTTCACCATCCCATCGTCGGATTATGTTTTTGGGTGATGCGAATCAGGTGGTAGTGGTTCTTTTTATAAACTCGTCATTTACTTCCCGATCGTCTTATTACTTTTTGGGTTCGGGTGACAGTGATTTTATTTATGAACTCGTCGTTCACCATCCAATCGTCTTATTAGTTCTTGAGTTGGGTGGCAGTGATTCTTTTTATGAACTCGTCATTCACCACCCGATCGTCTTATTCTTCTGTGGGCTATTCATGCCGGGCTGCAATGATTTTTTTTATGAACTCGTCATTCACCTTTGGGTCGGGTGGCATTGGTTTTATTTATGAACTCGCCTTTCACTACCCGATCATCTTATTAGTTCTTGAGTTGGGTGGCAATGGTTTTTTTATGAACTCACCATTCACCACCCGATCGTCTTATCCTTTTGCGAGCTATTCGTTGTAGTTCTTTTTATGAACTCGCCTTTCGCCGCCCAGTTTTTGGTTAATGCGCCAATAGTAAATAGTGTAGGTAGCGGAAATCTGAAGTATTGCATTATATATCTTAAATGAGGAAGATAATACAATGATAATTTTAACTAAAGTAAGATTTCAAGTGCGAAGCGATCCATGTATTAGGGACGGTTCTGCCGTTTGGATGAGAGAGACGTTACGCCCCATTTTGAAGGTTTTCGGTTACCCTGAAGGGTCCCTCCCACTTCGCTGCGAGCTTGCCATGAGTGGCCGCTCTTCCGGCGCCTCCTGTTTTTCTCCAGACCAGGTCGCCTTCTTTGAAGCTCTGGGGTTGTACTTTGGTATTGTATTTCCTTTCTACCATTCGTTTGTAGGCTTTTGCCCTGAGGAATGCTCGGTCACGACGTTCGTCCACAGTATTCAGTTCCACCCTGAGCTCTTCGTTGTTGAGCAGAGGGTCTTGCAGTTGCCGCCGCATGGAGAGTTCCCCCAACTCGACTGGTAGCATGACGTTAATGTCGTAGGTAAGGGCAAACGGTGTGTTGCTGGTTGTCCCATGTGGGGTGCATCGGTACGCCCACAAGACTTCAGGGAGTTCGTCCACCCACGCGCCCTTCTTCTCTCCCAACCTCTTCTTATGTTTAGTCACTATTGTTTTGTTCACAACTTCTGCCTGACCGTTTGTTTGGGGTGCTCTACCGAACTCGTAACATGTAAAATCCCCAAACTTTGGTAAAACAACCTAGTTTCCTATCGATAAACTGTCTGCAATTGTCGGTCACCACGGTCTGTAGAAGCCCGAATCGACATATTATTTTTCACATGAATTTTTGTACTTGTTGGGCTGTTATGGTTGCGAGAGCCTCAACTTCTACCCACTTAATGAAATAATCGATGGCGACTAGGAGGAACCTCTTTTGTGTTCGTCTGAGAGGAAAGGTCCCACGATGTCCATTTTCCACTAGGCGAACGACCAGGGTGAAACTAGAGTATGTATCTTGTTTGACAGGACTTGTGGAATATTGGCATGAGCCTGACATTTTTGACATTTCTGAAAAAGGTTTTTAGCGTCTTCCTTCATTGTTGGCCTATAGTAACCGGTTTGAATGGTGCGAACCCTCATATTACATTGGCCGGTATGAAACCACAAACACCGTTGTGAAGCTCATCTAGCACATAGATCGCCTCCTAGCAGTTCACGCATTTCAGAAGAGGAGTCGAAAATCCTCTTTTGTAGAGATCATATGGTACAATCTGTTCTTTATGGGTGTTTGTCAGGTAGCGTACGGGTATCAACTCGTATAGTTTATTTGTTTTATAGATTTGATTAAAAATAAGTCATTTTCTTAAACAAAGTTAATTGGAAGAATGCGTTTAAATTATAAATTGTAAAACCGGAAATAAAAGACAATGAGGATGTTCAACACTGAAGAGATGAAAAGAAATCGATAACCGTGAAAAATTCAAATATAATTCAGAAAGTAACGAGAAATGCAAATTAGCAAGGATAGAAAAAACTCACAAAAATTTGAAAAGGATGATGATCTGGAAGATGAGTAAACAAATTATCCAGTAGTTTTATAGTTTTTTTTTTTCAATTAAAGAATGAAGAGCATCTAAACATCAAAATAAATAGAAGTTGACCGAGCAAGTCAAGCTCCTCTGAATATCATGATATCATATCAGAAATCTTGAAATAAAATGGAAATTTCATATTTAGCTGCTACGTACCCTTAAAAACCCAAACTCGTCTTGGTTCTTGATTGTTCTTCTCTCCACTGCGTACACAAGGCCATCAAGAATCTTGTCATATGTTCAAAGCAATAGCTCCTGCGCAGGTAAGTTATAGTTCAGCTCCACACTTCAATTCTTTCATACCTGATATGGTTTCCACCTTCTAAATCTTTTCAACAAATCAAATCTACAATTTTTATTAATAGTTGTTCTTCCGCTGTGTGGTGTGAAGTTGAAGGAATAAACACTACCACTTGTAGCGTATAATTCATAGATGCTGAAACCTAAATCAGGGCTTCAACGGTTTTGGGACCGCTTCGGTACTCGATCATCGGGATCCACTTCTTCTTCATACGACTCCTCGGACACCATCCAAAACCAACACTACAGATACGATGTGTTTATCAGTTTCAGAGGTCCTGACGCCCGCAACTCTTTTGTTGATCATCTCTGCTCTCATCTCCTCCGAAAGGGCATTTTCGTCTTCAAAGATGACCACGATCTACAGAAAGGAGAATCCATTTCCCCACAGCTTCTACAAGCAATTCAACTTTCACGCCTTTCTATCATTGTCTTTTCCAAAAATTATGCTTCTTCCTCTTGGTGTTTAGATGAAATGTCCGCTATAGCTTCTTGCAAACAACAATCAAGCCAAATTGTTTTCCCCATTTTCTATGATGTAGATCCATCTCATGTAAGACATCAAAATGGGGTATACAAGAATAACTTCTTTTCACACAGACGGAAATTCGGAAAAGATCGGGACAAAGTTCTTAGATGGAAGAGGGCTATGACGGATTTGGCCAATTCAGCTGGTTGGGATATGAGGGACAAGTAAGCATCAATTACAGTCTTTGCTTTTCTGTCTTAGATTCATAGCATGACAATTTAAGTAATAGTTGAGTGCTCTATTTTTCCTTCTCTTGCAGGCCAGAGTTTGCACAGATTCAAAGCATTGTTCAAGCAGTAATTAATAAATTAGGTCATAAGTTTTCAAGGTCTGTGAATGACCTTATTGGGATACAACCACGCGTACAAGCATTAGAAGACAAATTAAGATTAAGCTCAAACAGTGATGATGTTCGAGTTTTAGGAATTTGGGGAATGAATGGAATAGGAAAGACTACTCATGCAGCTGTCCTATATGACAAAATCTCTCATAGGTTTGATGCTTCTTGTTTCATTGAGGATGTGAACAAACTTTATAGGGATGGTGGCTATACTGCTGTTCAAAAGCAAATTATTCATCAAACTTTTCGTGAAAACATAGATATGAGTAATCCTATTGAAATATCAGGGATTGTAGAAAATAGGCTACACAGCATAAAGGTCCTCATAGTTCTGGACAATGTTGATGAATTAGAGCAATTGGAAAATTTGGCCATAAAACCTAGATTGCTTTTGAAGGGAAGTAGGATGGTTATTACAACGACAGATGAACATATTCTGAAAGTGTACGAGGGTGATGTGTTGAGACACAAGCTTCCCTTATTGAACGATGCGGATGCTCGTGAATTATTCTGTAGAAACGCTTTCAAATGTGAAGATCAAAGCAGTAATTGTGCGGCGTTGATTCCTGAAGTACTCAAATATGCCCAATGCCTTCCACTGGCAATTAAAGTGTTGGGTTCTTTCTTGTGTACTCGAGATGCTGATGACTGGAGAGATGTGTTGAATAGATTGGAGAATAGTCCAGATGACAAAATTATGAATGTACTTCAAATAAGTGTTGATGGACTACAACGTGAGGAAAAACAAATATTTTTACACATTGCTTGTTTCTTTAAAGGGGAGAGGGTGGACTATGTTAAGCGAATTCTAAAATGTTGTGGGTTACACCCTGACATTGGAATTTCAAGACTTACTGAGAAATCACTCATCACTATTAGCGATGAAGAAATTCATATGCATGAATTGTTACAAGAATTAGGAAAGAAAATGGTTCGGGACCAATCTCCGGAGGAACCAGGATCATGGAGTAGAATATGGCTTCATAAAGACTTCTTGCATGCCTTGACAGCAGAAACGGTAACAAGTTACATTTCCAAACTTAGTGAGTCGTTTTATTTGTATTATCTAGCAACATTTATTGGTTATTCCATTTAGACTAAGATTATTTTCTTTAGATCGTTTTCTTCCCATTAAATAATCATTTATTATTGGTAGTATTCATACTTTTATATCAATATATTTTCAGTACGAGGGAAGGGAAGTTTTGCTTTTTAATTAGGACTTCACTATTTTCCTTTTCTATAAAAACGTTTCGTATTCTAACGATTAAAATGATTCAATTATGTGTTTCTTGACATGTTTATTCTCTATTGTTCAGGGAACAGAGAAGGTGAAAGCCATAGTTTTAAATAAAAAAGAAGAAATGTCAGAATGTATTGTTGACGGATTGTCAAGAATGAAGGAACTTACATTACTGATATTATATCACACAAGAGTTTCAGGAAGGCTGGAGGTTCTTTCAGACAGACTGCAATATCTATTGTGGCATGATTATCCTTTTGCTTCTCTGCCTCCATACTTTACAGCCTTTAATCTTGTGGAATTGAATATGCCTAACAGTCACATCACACATTTATGGGCAGGCGGCAAGGTACTATAATCACTTTTCCACTTTTATGTCACTTTCCCATTTTCTCTTTTGACTTTTGACATCATAATTTGGAATTTTAAAAAAAATTGAATAAATTACTTAAAATAATGTAACATGGTTATATTAATAGAAAGGTTTAAATGTCTTATGATAATTTCAAGTCACTCTGATATTTGTAACTGTTTTAATTAGTATAGATAACTTTAAATTTTGATGATGTTTTTACGTCGACGTGCATTGTTTGATTTGGTTGAATTTTTATTTAAATTAAAAAATTATGACATGCCAAAATTGAATCGGTTTAACTTTTGCTTGAATATTATGGTAATAATTTTGAAATTATAATTCGAATAAACATCTACTTAAAAGTTAAATTTTTTTAATATTATTTGATTATTTTGGGTGTAATTTTCTCTACCATTTAATTACTAAGATAGTATGAATTGTAAAAGTTTTATTAATTTGAGTAACTATCATCAGTATCCTTTTGTATGACATTCTATTGTTTTTTCACCTAATGAACACAAATGAAACCTTTTTTCACCTATATTTCTTTAATTCTGAAAGCATACCAAACTGAATGAATTAATGAAATTGAAGTTTTAAGATTATATGGTAATAGGTGATTGTTTACTTTTTTTCTCACAGAGCTGTCCCAACTTGAAAAGGATTGATTTAAGCAACTCCAAGTACCTGAGTGAGACTCCAGATTTTTCCAGAATCATAAAACTTGAAAGGCTAGATCTTTCTGGATGTTCAAGTTTATCTTATGTCCATTCATCAATTGGACTTCTTAAGAAACTTGCTTTCTTGAATTTACGAAATTGTTACAATCTAGTTTGCATTGACTTTGGCGGTGTATGGAATATGAGTTCTCTGAGAGTTCTACATCTCTCGGGTTGTTCTAAACTGGAAAGCACCCCAGATTTTACAAGGGCAACAGATCTTGAGTACCTTGACATGGATGAATGTACAAGCTTATCCACTATTCATCAATCTATTGGAGTCCTTTCAAATCTTACATTCTTAAGTTTAAGAAGATGTAGGAAGCTTGTCAGTATACCAAATGATATCAATTCCTTGGTATCTCTTCAAACTCTAGATTTATCCGGTTGTTATAACAGTATGAATCCGATGCCAAGACAAGCTCTTTCGTCCCATTTAAAATCCTTGATTTTTCTGGACATTAGTAATTCCAATCTAAAAGAAGTACCTGATGCTATTGGAGACTTAAGATGTTTAGAAAGACTGAATCTACAGGGAAACAATTTTCTTTCAATACCTGATTCCTTCCGTCAGCTTCATTGTCTAGCATATTTAAACTTGTCTCATTGTCATAAGCTCATATATTTGCCTGACCTTCCAACTGAAGGAGATAAATCAGGGGGGAAGTATTTTAAAACGGTATCTGGATCTCGTGATCATAGATCAGGCTTTTATCTTGTTAATTGTACTAATATTAAATTGTCTCGACTTGAGTTCCTCGGACTTGAACGCTTCTTCCACCTAATTAAGGTTCACATTCTACAACCTTATCTTTTTGTCTTTGGCTAACAATTGCCTAATTCATCATTAAAAATATTTTTAGAGATTTAATTGTAAAAAATATTTTTTATTATCAGCCAATTAAATTCTAGTACAAATTGATTACCATAAAACTATTTTGTGATTTTCTTTTGGTGATAGGAACCCTGTAATTTTCGGTGTGGCTTTGACCTTATTCTTCCTTGGGATATGGGATTTCGACCTGTCTTCGGTGAAACATTCTTAGGGAATTCAATTATAAGGATACTTCAATGTGTTATGAATGACAACTGGATTGGCTTTGGCTTTTATGTTACATTTAGTCGTGGGATTGATTTTTCTTCTTCTCACTGTTCATTATCCCATCCACTTTATCTTTCTTTTGAAAGTGAATACACAGAAGAGTACTTTGATATGCGATTTAATTCGGAGAGAGATGAATGCTTTATGTCTAGGCATATTTGGATAATTTACATCAGTCGAGAACACTGTCATTTTGTGAAAACAGGGGCGCATATCACATTTAAAGCGCAACCATATCTTAAGATCGAAGAATGGGGGATGAGACCTATACTCAAACAAGATATAAGTGACAGTAAAGGGAAGAAATACATAAAATTTTCCAAATTAAATCATGATCATGTGGACTTTGAGTATGTAGAAAAAAGCAACAGTGGTTCAGGGCCGAAAATCCAGCTTCCTTACAATTGGTGTGTCACAGAAGAAGAGCAAGTTGAGAATACTGATGCAAAGGCGAAAGAAAATAATCTCTCCAATGCAGGGCTTTAAGTTGCTTCTCAGAGATATGAAAATGGAAGCTCACACATCTTTTCCGGACATATGGTAATGATCTTCTCCCAAACAATTATTCATAATTAATTATTGATCAAATATTTTTATTTTCACAAAAATATATATTTAAACTTATAATCTATCCATACATAATTTAGTGAATCTAAGACTAAATTAGCATAATATTTTGAAACTTCATTAGCAAATACATTGACATTCTAATATTATGTATCCTTTATATTTATTTTCGCTTTTATTGACTTTCTCTGTTTCATTCTTTAAATAATATACTTAATCTAATTGTTGTGCAGTAAAATTTGTTGACAAATACATCTTTTCATATTTATATATAAGTATATATTTAATTTAATTTTATGTATTGGTATATTAAATGCTTATTAAAATATCATAATTTATTTCGTTTAATATTTCTTTTTCATTTTATAACAGATTCTTCTGGAAACACTTAATCCAGTCTTGGAAAGATGTCGAAGGTGAAAGTAGGTTTGTGCATGTAAATGTTTAATTTTTTTGGTTGAGTAAGTGGATCCTTTCATTTTAATTTATTACTAGCTTTGTTAGTGATGTAAGTAACCAAATCTACACCTTATTTAGATATGCTATTCCCTCTTTATTTGACTATGATAGATTAAATGTATGTTTACTGAAACAAAATAAGTTACTAATTAGTTTATTTCATTAAATTTTTTAGTAACAGACATATCTATTGAGTTAATGTGAAATAACATATATACAGGGGGTTTAGCCTGTAAGTTATTTTAGTTATTATTTATTTCTTTTACTAAAATATCTTTTTCTTAATAATTTTATATCATCTTTGATATATATTCACATAATTTTGTGTTTATAGTAGAATGTTAACATTTCACCATTTAAGATATTGAACCATGATACTAAATATTTATTTTAATTATTACATTACTGTTAATGTTTGTTGTGGTATTTGTTTTTAATTTTTATGTAATTTAAATCAACTAAGATTTAAATTTTTAAAAATATAAGTTAAAATCTATCAAAAGTAGAAGTTCTCAAATTTTAATAAAAAATTAATTATTTTCAAATATCTTAAATTATAATTAAATAATAATATTTTTTCCTAAAAGATGTAAATATTATTTGCTAAATAATTTATTAAACGTATAAGTAATTTATAATTGTTATATTTCAAAGTAATCATTAACTTATAAGTTAGTATATTCAACATTATATACATGAATGCAATTTGAAAAATTTTACTTTTTTCAATTTTAACATTTTATGAAAACGTAATTATGTTATTTTAGTACCAATGCAGCTTTCTTATTAAATAAAATATAATTTAATTTCATTACAGTAAGAGCTCATAGTATCCGACTTTAACATTCAAGTCACTGTTGAAGACATTTCTTAACATCGACAGCAGATTATTCCGTATTCCACGCTCCATCTTTTCCTTTATTTTCTCAAACACATAATAATAATTTAACTTAAATATAGACACAATTTAAAAAAATAATGTCTAAATTCAACTAGAAATTTCTAGCTGTCTTTAATGTAAATTTCAATAATTATCTACCTATAGAAAAAAAAAACACAACAAATTCAAAATTCTCAAGTGATTCTAAGAACAAATTGTTATAATAGTATATTATAACACTCTAAAAATTATGTCATTTCTTATGCCTTATGCCATATAGATAGTTGACGACATTCTGATTATGCCATATAAGATCTTTAAGAATATCAATGTCGCAGAAAAATTATGGGATGGAATAAAATATCCTGCTGTAATCAATTGTTTTATATAATGATTTGATACAATCTTTCGTATTTGCTTATACTGAGAGTTAGGTTAGAAATGTATAGGATAATTATTCTCTCTTTTAATCCTTTTCTCATTTAATTTCGGTTTTATCTTCATAACCTTTCATAATCATCTTCAATTTTATCACCATATCCTTTCATAATTAATCATCTTCAATTTTATCTTCATAACTTTTTATAATCATTGTTCAATTTTATCTTTTAATATATATTATCACCACTTATAACTGTTGTTCCTACGAAAATTATTGAACAAACTATGTAATAAATTTATCTCAAATTTAAATTTATATTTTTTAGATTTCTAGTACACTTCACTTATAATAGGAATTGGATGGGATATAAATTTGATAAATTATTAAAGGTTTAATAACAATTTTTGTCCCAATTTTTGTTAGCTTTATTCAAAATGGTCCTACTTTTTTTTTTATTCAATGTTATCTTAAAAAATGTAATTTATGTTCAATTTAGTTCTAGGAGTTTAAATGGTTAACGGCTCGTTGTTCAACTGTGTAATAAATGACACATTCATCATATCTTATTTCTAAAAATCCTAATTTTTCCTACACAGAAACCCTAGTCACCACCTAACCCTAACAGCCGCCGCCACAGGCAACCACCATCTTCGCACCTCCATCATCTTCTCCGTTCAGCAACCACCAAAAAACACCACCCATGGCCACCTACAAGAATCCCTAACCACTCGCAAAACAAACCAAGAATTCCCCAAATCAATTTTGAAACGAAAATCATATATTTCAATTTACAAAAACCAGATAACACAACAAAAACCCCCAAATCGAAACCCTCAATCACGAATCCTATTACAACGAAACTGCCTGAGAACGGTGGGCTTCTCGATCTCGACTACGTCGGAGATTGAACATTCGTGGAAGCGCCGCCGTTGCAACCCTCACCGCGCTGCTAGAAAGGAGTTCGCTCTCATTTCTGCGAAACTCTGACAGACCCACTATAGTCAATTGGACCATCGCAAGCTTCAGTTTTCCTCTAGCGGCGCAGGCGTAAGGAAGCCGGCTGGTCAGCCGTTAAATGACATGAGATTTAAACAAAAAATGACTAAATTGAACATAAATTATATTCTTTAGGACAACATTGAAAAAAAAATTAAGACCATTTTGACAAAAATTGGGACCAAAATTAGTATTAAGCCACTTAGAAAAAGTACTGATAATGGAATAACTAATGTTACTTTAAGCAGTACTGTTTTTTTAAAAAAATAAATCTGGTTAAGAAGTAATTTAGGAAACAGTTTAAGTTTTTTTTTCCCGAAATTTAAGAATAGAAATAAATATATCATTTATTAAAGTTTTTTACTCTGTTAAAAATTCTTTTCATCTCCAGGACAAAATTCGGGGAAATTGATAAGATTGTTCAAGCGGTAATAGAAACACTCGGTCATAAATTCTCTGGGTTTGTTAATGATCTTATTGGGATACAATCTCGCGTACAAGTATTGGAAGATAAATTAAGGTTAAATTTAAATATTGACTATGTTCAAGTTTTAGGAAATGATGATAGGGTGATGTGTTATTTATTGCAAAGTTGGATAGTTTGTTGTTAATAATTTAAATATTATGTGTATAAACGACTAAATTGAACATAAATTATACATTTTTTGGATAATATTAAATAAAAAAAAAAAAAGATTATTTTGAATAAAACCGAGACCAAATATTAAATCTATATTATGATATAAAAATGAAAGATAAAGTTAATATGGTATAAAATTTTTATTAACACGAACTTCCCTTTTACCCCAATGAAAAGAAATATATTTTCCAAAAGAAATAAAGAAAAACTCAATTCAAAGTCAAAATGTAAGCCAAGAAAGAACCTTAATTATAATACATACTTGTTTATGATATCCCAACCAGTTGAATTGGTCAAATCTGTCATAGCTTTCTCCCATCGAAGGACCTTGTTTGGCTTTTCTTTAAATTTCGATCGGTGTAAAACAAAAGCATTCTCATACGGTCCAATCTGATGTCTAACGTGAGATGGATAAAAATCATAGAAAACAGGGAAAACACTTTGATTAGATTGTTGTTTGCAATCAGCTATAGTGTCCATTTCGTCCAAACACCACGACGAGGAAGGATAATCTTGGGAGAAGACGATGATAAAAATTCGAAAACCTCTGATTGCTTGTAGAAGCTGTGATGAAATGGATTCTCCTTTGTAGAAGCTGTGATGAAATGAACCTCTGATTTCTATATATTCTTATTTAGTTTAGATACATTGAGAATTTGACAAGAGAAACAAGTTAGTTTATTTGATTAAATTAAGCTAATTTGGTTCATAAAAATATTTGATAATTGAAAATAATTTAGTTTTTAAATTTTTAACATATAAATTACAAATTATATTAGTTGTTGTTTATAACTTATTTAATATTTTTTATTCTTATTATATTTTGATATATTTTCTTATTTATACTTAAGATATGTATGTTAGTTTGTTTCTAAAATAAAATGTTAATGATTAGTTTCAACATTTAATATATTAAAACGCTTATTTTTGTTTTTATTTATTTTAATATTTTAGTGAAGCTTTAACTTTATTTTATATGTTGTGTTATGATCTAAAGTTTCAACTAGTATATTATGTGAAGAACAATAATATACTACAAAGAAAGTTAAGATCTACTCTTGAATCTTTATAAACATTTTTAAATATTATCTTTCTTAAAAGCTTGGAGGTTTCTTCTTTATCAACAAAAAGTCCAAGTCCAATGATCCATATATAGGTTTTGAAGTCTAAAATCCAATGTAATTAGAATCAACAAATATGTATAGATAATCTATGTTTCAAATAGTGAGTAAATGTTAGATGAGCTAAAAATGTAAAATGTAAAATTATTTCTTATTAAAAATATTTCGACAGCATTTTAGCACTTTGAAAATCATAACTTCTTGTTCTTCTAAAATTATGTTTTTAAATAAGAATGGAAGAAATTATCAATAATTTCTGGCAATTGATTTCATTAAATATACTTCGTGCATACATTACAACTAATAATACTTATTTGTCTTTGGTTAGAAAACATATTTAGTTGAAGTTTATAAAGTACAAATTATCCAAAGTTGTGAATACACATGTTAGGGAGTTTTTAAAGCATAGTTACTTTAACTTATTTTTCAAGAGATTTATAATGTTGATACTCATCTTGATAGATGAAAGAAGAAAACATTCATTACAACATATAAGATCAATGTATTTACGTGAAATTCAATTAAGATAATAAATGTATTTGTCCTCAAAAGTATATTATTCAAATTTATGACTATTTTGACGGGAAATTCCCTTAAGTATAAGTTTGGATAATATCAAATTTTTTAAATTGAGTATAGAAATATAAGTATAAGTTGATGATGATTTTCTAACAGCTACCTAATGTAGAAATTCAAAATTAGATCTCAAAGTTACATATTTTGTATATTTTTCCATAAAAAGATTGTCCAATAGATAACGATCCAAGCTTTAACATTGCATCTCCTTTAATTCTCTATTTTATATCTCCTTCGGATGGATTAAAGTAGAAAAACAAGCGTATACTTTCAAGGAGGGAATACTTTATTTATAATTTAGTGATTTATATAAATATGAACTCTATTACTTTATTAGATCCATCAAATAACCGTCCTCATCACTACAAATTAACAAGGTAGAAATGACACATAACCCTACAAATTATGTTATTGTAAATATCTCCAAGAGTGTACTATTGGGACCAAATCATCCGGCTGGGGAAAATTTTCAGCTACTCCATAGAAATTTCGCTGGACTTTTCAGCTGTACTATTGGGACCAAAGAAGAATCTCTCATGTTCAATGAAAGCAATAGCTTCTGCGCAGGTGAGTCACTGTTCCTTCCATACTTTTCAGCTTCTAAATCATTTCAATAAATCAAATCTACAATTTTTTTTAAGAGTTGTTCTTCCCCTGTGTGTGTTATGAATTTCACGGAACCAACAGTACTTCTTCTACCAGAAGAAGTAGATGGTGGAAACTAAACCAGGGCTTAAGCGGTTTTGGGACCGCTTCGGTGGTCGATCATCGGGATCCACTTCTTCCTCTTCGTACGACTCCTCGGACAGCATCCAAAACCAAAACTACATATACGATGTGTTTATCAGTTTCAGAGGTCCTGACACCCGCAACTCTTTCGTTGATCATCTCTGCTCTCATCTCCTCCGAAAGGGCATTTTCGTCTTCAAGGATGACCACAATCTACAGAAAGGAGAATCCATTTCCCCACAGCTTCTACAAGCAATTCAACTTTCACGCCTTTCTATCATTGTCTTTTCCAAAAATTATGCTTCTTCCTCTTGGTGTTTAGATGAAATGTCCGCTATAGCTTCTTGCAAACAACAATCAAGCCAAATTGTTTTCCCCATTTTCTATGATGTAGATCCATCTCATGTAAGACATCAAAATGGGGTATACGAGAATGACTTCGTTTCACACAGATGCAAATTTCAAAAAGATCGGGATAAGGTTCCTGGATGGGAGAGGGCTATGACGGATTTGGCCAATTCAGCTGGTTGGGATGTGAGGGACAAGTAAGTATCAATTACAGTCATTTGCTTTTTTGTCTTAGATTCATAACATCACAACTTAAGTAACGGTGGAGTGCTCTATTTTTTCCTTCTCTTGCAGGCCAGAGTTTGAACAGATTCAAAACATTGTTCAAGCAGTAATTAAAAAATTAGGTCATAAGTTTTCATGGTTTGTGAATGACCTTATTGGGATACAACCACGCGTACAAGCATTAGAAGACAAATTAAGATTAAACTCAAACAGTGATGATGTTCAAGTTTTAGGAATTTGGGGAATGAATGGGATAGGAAAGACAACTCAAGCAGCTGTCCTATTTGACAAAATTTCTCATAGGTTTGATGCTTCTTGTTTCATTGAGGATGTGAGCAAACTTTATAGAGACGGTGGCAATACTGCTGTTCAAAAGCAAATTATTCATCAAACTTTTGGTCAAAAAGGTCTAGATATGTGTAGTCCCTTTCAAATATCTGGGATTGTAAGAACTAGGATACACGACATAAGGGTTCTCATAGTTCTTGACAATGTCGATGAATTAGAGCAATTGGAAAATTTGGCCATAAAACCAAAATTGCTTTTGAAGGGAAGTAGAATGGTTATTACCACCACAGATATGCATATTCTGAAAGTCTATGAGGGTGGCGTGATACACAAGGTTCCATTATTGAATGATAATGATGCTCGTGAATTGTTCTGTAGGAAAGCCTTCAAAAGTGAAGAGCAAAGCAGTAGTTGTGAGGCGTTGATTCCTGAGGTACTCAAGTATGCCCAATGTCTTCCATTGGCAATTAGAGTGTTGGGTTCTTTCTTGTGTACTCGAGATGCGGTTGAATGGAGAGATGTATTGAATAGATTGCAAAGTAGTCCCGATAAAAAAATTATGAATGTACTTCAAATAAGTGTTGATGGACTAAACCATGAGGAGAAACAAATATTTTTACACATTGCATGTTTCTTTAAACGGGAGAGGGTGGATTATGTTAAGCGAATTCTAGACTGTTGTGAGTTATACCCTCACATTGGAATTTCAAGACTCGTTGAGAAATCACTCATCACTATTAGCAATGAAGAAATTCATATGCATGAATTGTTGCAAGAATTGGGAAAGAAAATGGTTTGGGACCAATCTCCACAAGAACCAAGATTCTGGAGTAGAATATGGCTTCATAAAGACTTCTTGCAAGTCTTGACAGCAGAAACGGTAATAAGTTATTTTTCAAACTTAATGAATTATGTGAAATGTTTTCTGAATCATGCGAAATCTGCTACATAGTGAACAATAATAAAATTATCATAGAATCATTTTATTATTGTTAGTATTTATACTTTTTTTTCTAAAGCACAATTATTTCAAATTAAAACTTCACTAGTTTCTTATTTTTTATAAAAGTGTTTCGTATTCCAATGACCAAAATGATTCAATTAAATGTTTTTTTTGTTAAGCCATAATTTTCGTGAAATGTTCATTCTGTGTTCCAGGGAACAGAAAAGGTGAAAGCCATAGTTTTAAATAAAGAAGAAGAAATGTCGGAATGTAGTATTGGTGGATTGTCAAGAATGAAGGAGCTTACATTGCTTATATTATATCACACAAAAGTTTCGGGAAGCTTGGAGTTTCTTTCAGACAGGCTGCGATATCTATTTTGGCATGATTATCCTTTTGATTCTCTGCCTCCATATTTTACGGTCTCTAATCTCGTGGAGTTGAATATGCCTAACAGTCACATTATAAGTTTATGGCACGGTAACAAGGTAATATATTCACATTCTTTCCATTTTCGTCTGGGTTTGAATAAATCACCAAAAGATAGAATTTCTTTTTTAGTTATATAAAAGTATAAAAGCTATTACCATCTCTTAACATTATATATTATATTTCAAAATAATATCTCTTAAATATCTCAGTCTTCAAAATATAAGAAATAGGTTCAGTATTCTAAAAGATTGATTTTTAAACTATCACTATTTTAAAGCATAAGTGACTTGGTTGAGCTACTGATCTCATATGTTGCTATCTCTACTCACTACGATTATCACATAAAAAAAATAACAATCAACACAAGACAGAAGAAAAAGATAACTAATGTTTTTAAAAGAAAAGTAAGAAAGAAATAAATAATATTATAAAAGGTCTAAAAATAATTTTAAAAGTCAAACATGTAATAAAGTTGTAATTTAAACAAAATAGCTTTTTTTTTGTTAGTATGAATACCAAGAAATATTGTACAATTTAAAACGTGTATGATTAAATTTTATATAAAATTTATTTTCTTAGATACCTACACAGTCTTTCATGAGACAAGTGCATTGAATAGACTCGTAAAACTCTCCTCGTATAATTAAATGACTCAAACCGAACAATGAAAAGGTTAACCTCCTTAATTCCATTGCCTGTTATGTGGAAACAACACTTTTTTCTAATTACAATATTATTGAAAAATAACCAATCCATCCCAAAGAGGACATCTAACTCTCTCTAGGGTAGACAAATCAAATTCACCTTGAATATGTGTCCCTCACTAACAATGAGCACTCAACACTTACTAGAGAAGTAGAAATTGTACCAGAGGTTGGAGTTGATACTAATAATTCAAACTGCAACTCTCTAACTAATGAACTCAACTCTTGCATACACAAAGTTGACACAAAGAAGTGTGTCACTCTAGAATCAAACAATACCCATAAAAATTTTCCAGCTATTATTCCCCCAGAATAAGATTACTTTATCCTTCTCCTACCCACCAAAATTCAGTCTTCCCAGATAATAAGTACACAACATAACTTAGCTTCTTAATTTTAGGACAGGAAGTTGCCTAAAATATCTTTTCTATTTCCTGTCCATCCTTATGCTCGATCAGGGATGAAATTACCAGTAAACCTTGGATAGTTATGCTTCATGAATTAAGACAAACTCAACTGCTCTTGAGGTTGATTAGTTGAATGTCCAACAACATTCTCACTCGTTAAAGGACTTGCAACATTCACCCTAGATACCCTTGTAGCTTCCCACTGTCTTATATTTTCTTGATGAGCATGAGCCATAGTCATACTCTCTTGTTGCATGGCATTAGCCATCATTTCCATGGCCCTTATCAACTGACTCAAGTCAAGATTGGGTTGAGGTGGCGGAGGAGGTCTACGAGACATTCTGATATAATCATGAGAGAAAGGATTAATCCACTTCACAACATTTTTTACAATTATTACTTAGGTACTCATTCATACTAGAAAGACATAACACCCATATCGTGCATAATTACTACACCAAGCAATGTAAACCAGTTGCAAAATTATCAATTACAAGATTTATCTTTTAATCACTTTCAAGCTTGAAACTTTAGAATTAAGACAAAAATATATATTTGACTTAATCATGAGTATTCACCTTCATCACTACATCAAAATTTTTTCTCTCTTACTACTTAAATTTCCACACTTCTCTCCAACAACACTCGACCTTCCTATTTCAGTTCTCTCAAGGTTCAAATTGCTCTGGTATCAATACTCCAATATATGTACTCAACTACTTTAAGTCATTACTTAATAACATCAATACTCAAAAAGTCATACATATCTATATAGAATGAGTTTAAAGGCTATTATAATCCCTTAAATGTATTTCAAAATGACATTTCTTAAACATCTCAAGGTATTTCAAATTATGAGAAATAGGTTTGAAACAGTTTTCCAAAAGAAAGATAAAAACTTCACCATCTTAACTATAACTAACCTAAGCCATCAATGACTGTCTCCAGCTTTCGAGTACTAACCATCTCTTCCTACCTCTGTTCACGTATTAATATTCAATTATCGCATAAAAAAATAACAAACAACAGAAGGACATAACACAAGGGTAAACTAGTGCATTTAAAAGAAGAGTAGAAAAGAAATAAGTCATATTATCAAAGGTATGCAAATAATTTTAAGAGTGTTTCATCCTACACCTCCAAAGTCTCATCCTGCACTTCCAAAAATTCCACTTTTAACCTTTTGACATCTCATCATCATTCTACACCTCCAACTTTTTCAAAACTTTATTTCTAACTTTAATAAATATTTTTTCATTTCTTTTCTTTTTTATTAAAAACAATCTTCATTACCTTAATAATAATTTAATTTAATTTATTTTAAAATTTAAATATTATTTAAAATAATTTTGTATTTTAATAATTATTAAAATATAATTTATATTATAATAATAGTTATATTAAAAACATAAAAATAAAATAATAAAAATAATAATAAAAATAGTAATAATAATAAATAATAATAAAAATAAATTTCATTTAATATATTCAAATATATTAAATTATAATAAAATATTAAAATAAATTAAATAATTATTAAATTTTAAATAAAAATGAAAATTTTAAAAAGCTTATTTATATATTAAAATCTATAAAATATGTTAATACTTTGTTTTTTATTTAAAATTTAATAAATATTAAACTTAAATAAAAATTATAATATGTATTTATTATATTTATATATTTTAATAATTAATAAAATATAATTTATATTTTTAAAATAGTTTTATTAAGAAAATTGGAAAATAATAACTAAAATAAGAATAAAAATAAAATAAAAATAATACTTAAAATCATATTTAATATATTTAAATTTTAAAAAAACAAAAATTTTGAAAAATTTGTTAATCGGATATCGATATCCCCGATAAGTTATAAATCGGATATTCATATCCGATAAAGAATGATTTTTAAAATTTTATTTTATATATAAATTTTAATAATTATTTAATTTAATTTAATATTTTAATATAATTTAGTATATTTAAATATTTTATTTAATATAATTTTATTTGTTATTTGATAAATAACTGTTTTAAAATTTTGTTTATTATTTAAATTTTAATAATTATTTAATTTAATTTAATATTTTAATATAATTTAATATATTTGAATATATTAAATATTTTATTTAATATAATTTACTTTTTTGTTATTATTTTTATTTTCAATTATTTTATTTTTTATTTTTAATGTAATTATTATTATAACGTAAATAATATTTTAATAATTATTAAAATATAAAATTATATTAAATAATATTTGAATTTTAAATTTAGTTATTATTAAGGTGATATAGAGTCTTTTTAATAAGAAAAAGAAGAAAATAAAAATATATTTATTGAAATTAAAAATAAATTTTTTTATAAAGTTAAAAGTGTAGGATAATAATGATATGTCAGAAGGTTAAAAGTGTAATTTTTGGAGGTGCAGGATGAGATGTTGGAGGTGTTGGATGAAACACTCTAATTTTAAAACTAGAATTGTCAAAATGGGTCACAACTCGCGAGCCAACTCGGCCCATCACGGGTTTGAGCCGGGTTGAGTTAGAAAAAAATTGTATATTTTTTGTGCGGGTCAGATTTCAACCCGGCTTGTTTAAACTCGGCTCATGCGGGTTAAACCCGTGGTGGACCGGGTTGGCCCATCAACCCACGTATCTAATTTTATTTTTTTTAAATTTAATTTTAGTTTTATAAAAAATATTTATTATTTTGTTTTTGCTTGAAAAAATTATTTAAGTTCCTTATTTTCAAAATTAATTAAAAACCCATGTTGGGAGTGGAATTTGTTTAAATTTGTATTATAAAAAGTTTGTATTTTTTTTTATTTAAAAGAAATTGTAATTAAGTGAGCCAACCCATTTTTACCTACCAACCCTTGGTGGATCGAGCCGGGTTCGAATTTTTCTGATTCGCTAATAAATGAGTCGGATTGGGTTAGCTCACTAAGTGACCAACTCGTGGTGGGCCAGGTTGGGTTGGGTCGGATGATCCGTTTTGACAGCTTTATTTAAAAGTCAAACATGTAATAAAATAGTAATTTAAAAACAAAAATAGCTTTCATATACTAATATAGAGAGCAACAAATATTGTACAATTTTAAATGTGTACGATTAAATTTTGTACGGAATTTATTTTGTTAGATACCTATACAGGAAAGACAAGTGTATTGAATTGTGAAACTCTATTGTCATACTTACTTCCAAGTCCTCAAATAATTTTCCAGACCTTAATACCAAATGACTCAAAGCAAACCATGACAAGGTTAATCCCACTAGTTCCATTAGCACGATCCTCTTTCATATCATACCGTGAAACTTCTTTCGACTCACACCACTTAAATATCATACCCTATGTGAGTGAGATATTAGTTGAGTCAGAAATATTCTCACTTTTGAAATCCTCTTTTACTACATTTTAACCTCCTAAACAATACACTGGAACCTCCTAAACAGTAATATTTTCCATTGAAAATAATTAGGTTTAATAGGTTTGGAGGTCCCTATATTTGCGGGTTCGTTTCAATTGGGTCCTCCAATTTTGGAAGTGATCAATTAGGTCCTTAATTTAACAAAAATGAGTCAATAATACCCTTTCCGTTAAATGCAATGGACAGCGTTAACTTTTTAAACAGATGGCATGCTGAGTCATCCTTTTATTTGCAGGTGGCACAGTTTAAGCTGAAGATGTGGATTTTATATCATTTCAAATTGTAAAATGTAATAAAAGCAGAATTAGGGTAAAATGTAATAAAAGCATAATTAGGGTCAAATGTAATAAAGGCATCCTTCTCCAGTTCAGAACCCTCATCCAATTTCCTTTCTTCTTTCTTCGATCATTTGTCTCATTCCTCTCCCAAATTTCCATTAATTCTCAATCCACTCTCTCGTTCCTAATTAGGTCCCATTCCTGTTCAAATTTCGTTTATGGGTTCTCCCAATTCAAAGTTATGCACTTTCCCTTTTTGCAGTGGAATTTCTCGTTCCTGGGGAATTCAATTCCATTGTCTCTCACTAAAGTTGAAAACT